CAAGGCATTTTGTCCTGTTTACAGTAAAATGAGTTGCAGAGAGAGGAAAATATGAAAGCCAGGCAACAAGGTCAAAAAGAGATAGAAAAATGTTCATTGAGACATTATGCAACACAAGAAGCCCAAAGCTGTGTGTTATTTTTCTGAAAGAATTCCAATACTGAAATAAATATCATTTCTATATGTATGACTGATATAAAAATCAAAGAACAGCTGAATTCAGGAAGAAACTTGCATGCCTACTGAACAATGTTGTGTGTCAAAAACACTTGATCCTAAGCTAACCACAGCCAAAATGATTCAGATGTAGTTATGCAGGTCGAGGAGGTGACCAAGATATTTTCACTGAGATCAGCACTGGCAGGAGGGAAAACACTTGATGAGGAAAACCAGAAGCTTTAGGAACTTACCATAACACTTCTCTAGAAGAAAATGACAAGTGACCCTGCATGACACCACCTCATGCCAGAAAACTGAAGGGTGGGTTCCTGTTTATACCCTGAACCTTTGGTAGCCTGGATAGTGAAACCATCTTGTAATTGCTCCAACTGAAACAAGCAAGATTTCACCTATTTTCTGGGCAAGAACCAAATGGAGGTGCAGAGTCACGTAAGCAGATGAAGAGAGAAGTAGATATGACATTTCCCTGTCTGCCAATAGATATTAGGTACATAGGAAATGAATGCAACTTCTTTTCAGCAGCCTCACAAACCTGCTGTGAAGAGGGGTGCTTGTGTATCACAACATACCAGAAAAGACATGGGGCCAGAAAAGTGTGGGGCCATCATAGTGACAAAACCAGAGGAAATCATGAAAACTACTTAAAGATTGAGGTATTTAAAATCTCTCATATGCTGACATACTTCACCTCTTTTTTTTTTTTTTTCAATAGAGACAAAGGGACAGCTAGTAAATTTCAAATAATTTCAATTCAACTTGCATTAAAAAATAAATTTCTTCATTAGTACTCCATTTTATATCATCTGTTGATTAGAATCAACAGTTAGAGTAGTCCACTCAATAATTTTTCAATAATTTCTTTTTATTTTAGATTTTCATCAGTAGAAAACAATATCAAAGTTCTGGCTGAAAGCAGCCACTCATAGTTTCACCCTGCAATCACCATATAGAAGTTGCAGTCTCAGCATTTGAACAATCACAGCACTTTAAAATTCTTCCTGTCCTGCAGGACAAATTCTGTTGCACAGTGTTATTTTCTTATAAAACAAGAAAATCAGTGAAACATTTCTTCCTTTAAGCATAGATGAATTTTAGGATAAAAAGTGTGAGCTTACAGAATCAAATTTTTATTTAACCAAACTCATACCTTCTTCCCATTAATATAAATTAACACTGTACATAGTTAGAATACATAAAGCTGTATGAACCAGTGGTCTGTGTCATTAAGGCAGTTGGGATAAAAATATTGCAAAGAAAGAGACCTGGTGTGTGGACTTACAGTTTAAATGGCATGTGCAAGTGGCTTTGTCTCTGAGGTGGAGTTGGGATGGGCTATTGTAACTGTCAAAATAAAATGCTGAAGCTAAAAGGAATTATTGGTCTGAGCAGGGGGAATTTTGGGACAAATGCTCAGGTATGTTTGCATGGCCACAATATGCCAGTGAGCTGAAATTTAAGGCTTACTACTCTAAGAACCCACACGGAAAATGCTCTTGAAACTAAAATGATAACTGGGAGCTTGAGCACAGCGTAATTACAGTTGCTGATGAAGTATACCAGCACTCAGACCTCGAGACTTAAATCAGCTTTCTTGGGAATGGCCCAGACCTTTTACCCAGCAGACTCACATATGGAAACAATTTGGGAAGCTGATCCTTCCTTCCTCTCAGCTGTTACCTAGTAACTAACTGCGCGAGCGCTTCCAGTCCATTTCACAGCAGAATCACACAGGTTAACATAAACGGCTCTGCCAGGCAGCCAGAAAGCCTGGGCAAATCGATGCCATCTGCCTGTTACCAAGGCATTTGGTGGGTGCTGAAGAAGGGCGATGCATCTAGAAAGTGTTGAACTCCAGGAAATTTCAGGAAGAAGTATTTGATCCTTATCATCAAGAGCAAATTTCAGTTGGTGACATCAGTGTTGTCTAGCTCAAGGCAGTTACTAATTACTACTTGGAGCAAGCTGTCACTATCCATCAGCTGTGGGGATGTAGGAGCAGTTTAGATCTTCTGATCAGTGATCCTCTTCATCAGGAGTGATGGCTTATTTATGGAGAAAAGCTGCGATTGCTGACCAGGTGCTTCACACTATGGCTACGTCTGACGATAAGCAATCACTATGAAGCACAAGATTATTACTGAGGCAGTAAATGCACAGGTATTTACAGCAATGAATTTACCATATAGCAGTACCTAATTACAATCAGGAAGTACAACTGCCACATCCATATTCCTCTCCAAACTTTGTCCTCCTCTCTTTCACCCCCTTCCTACGCCTTGTTCCAGAACCCTTTACCTTTCCCTCTCTCAGTTGGCTGTCTTATCCATCCTTTCCAGGCATCATCCTGCCCATACTTGCACTGCCATCTCTCTAAGTCCTGCCCGGCATGCAAGGGGACAGGATCCTATGCAAGCTGCTGCCAACACTTAGCCCAAAGGAGTCGGCTGGTTAACTGGGGGCAGAGAGCCTCCACTGGAGTACCTCACAGGCTGCTGGGGGAGGTGAGGATGCCAGAGACACTGAGTGGGTGCAGTATTTCAACCAGGGCTCACGTGTCATGGCTTACATGGCACGGATATTCAAACAGCATCCTGGAAAAGCACCATGTAGTTACAGCTGCCAGACCCAGTGCTATGGTAGTAATTACTAAGCTGGTGGCCAAAAGGAGTTCAGAAGTCCAGAGATGCCAACCAACTTGAACATACTTGTCTGTGATGATGCACTTCTCTATTCTGTTGTACTTATGCTGAGGCAATATTTACTATTTGATCCTAACCTTCATTCATTTACAAGCTGAAGATAATACTTTTTGAGTGAATTCTGGTTTATAATTAAGACTTTTCTATCTATAGACCTGACACTTCTAGGAAATGTCCAGAAGAATTAAAACTTTGTTCACAAAGCTGGTAAAAAATTCAGAATTGAAATAATAATTTACACAAAATCCTGTTAAAAAGTTACTGGAGTGCTCATGACCATTATTTTCTCAATTTATTATTGCTGTGTTGTCATTTCCAGCTGTCTGTACCTTAAAGAAATGAAAAAGTTTTGTCTTCCAAAACCCTAAAGATAATTGCCTTGGTCACAGTGATGAATTCTTTCCATGCCGTCCTCATGTGCTTCTCAGAGCTGTTTTGCCAATTGACAGGGTTAACACAAAGGGCACAGACACCAAGCTAAAGAAATAGGCTTATTTTACTTTAGGTTAAAGCAGCAGAAAGAATAAGCAAGGTAATGCACCTAGTCATTACTACTTAAAGCTAGCTATAGTGATTAAGAAAGATACATCACCAATTGCCCTCATACTTTACCATCATCCAGCTCCGTGCATCAGCTGGGGAGCCCCATCACAGCGAAGGATCGGAGAGCCTTTCCCAGCAATTGGGAAGTCCTACGCAGGGCGTCCGCTCGTAGGTGGGGTCTGCGTCTGTGTTGTGAGAGGGTCCGGCTTTTATACAGCTTAACAAACAAATCTTTACAAAATGCACAGGAGATATCTGGTAGATTGACATGCCTCGCTCAGGCATGTCCGGATCTGGGCAGGATCCGGGCACATCTGAGGAGTTTCTGGTTTTCTTTACATTCGGGATTTATAGTTACTTCCTGTTGTTTACTTACAGTTTTCAGGGATTGTTCCCAGGGTTGCATTTCATGCTAAGATGCTGTTTGCTGGTCGGGGAATTCAATCAGAAGTCAACTTTGGTTTGAGGCCTATTGTTTGGGCCTTTTTTGTTTCAGTTGGTCCATTGACTTATGAGTGAAGATCACGACCCTTTTGGAAGAGCCCAATATGTTCACTCTATCCGTTTGATACAATACCATACATAACAATTATATAAAGTAATAATAATAATGATAACTAACAATATTACAAGAGGAGGTATTTAAAAATTTAACACTTGGGTTGCAGAGGGTGAATATCCATTAAAGATGTCCCACTAGTAGTGTGCAGTCTCCTTCTCCATCTGGCTAGCTAACGACATTAGTTGATTCTTTGTGATTACAGTCTGTATCACAGAGTCTGACAGAGTTTTATTTCGTCGTTCTAGGTGTCGTCTCAAATGTTCTGATTATTCCATGATGGTTTTCAGTGGAGTCAGAGATAAGCTGATTCCATTAAGTCCTAAGCTTTGGGGATGCCAGTACATGTTTAACTGTTCTTCATGTGTTGAATAAAAAGTATACATCTGTCCATGCCAGATGAGATAGAATACATTTCTGAGGCATCCCAAAAATGAAGTGGTTAGATTATACATTTCTATAAGATTTTTATCATTTGTTACTATACAAACATGCTTAGCACTGATTTCTACAAGCATATAAAAACTTTTGGGCAAGATTGTCCATTTACACAAATTCACTGAATGTTCCAATAAACAGAGTACTGAAAGTAAGATTGTCTATGATACAGGAAGAATTGGCTTTGCATTGGAAATCATCCTGTTGTCTTGTCTTGGTTGCATTTTTCCATTGCCACCTAAGCAGTGTCTCTCGTGGACCTTCCAATGGCCATTCTGGGGTAAAAGCCTTTACCAAATGGACTATGATGATACACAGGCAAATCCATCTTAGCAGGATCTAAAGATAGAACCTTAAGACATCTAGTTATTCTCGCAGATAACATTTAGTTGCAGGAACATATTCTCATTTTTCCTGTCCAGGTTTCATGATTAAAACAGTATTGTATTTTCCTGTGGCTATTACTTCAGCTAGTTCAGGAGGTCCACTTGAAATTTGGACCCATATTTATCTCCGTTATTGAAATTAGTTGGTCCAAACCCTTTATCTTCACGAACAGTGGTGACTTGAGGTGGATCCCCTTATTTCACAATTGCTTTCAAAACTGGCAATGTCAATAATTGTGCTATTCTGTCATGGGTATGAATAATCAAATCTTGTTCAACATTGTTTAACAGAATTACTTTAATTTCTCCTTGATAATATACATCAATCACTCCTCCCATGACATGAATACTTTTCAAGGCTAGGCTTGAATGAGCAGTTATCAAACCAAAGTGTCCTGGAGGAATTTGAATTCCTGTTCCAGTATTGATAACTCTCATCTGTTTTTGGTTCATCCTGATCAATTCTAATGCATAGAGATCTAGCCCTGCAGCCTCTGGAGTGGCCCGGTAAGGGGCCATCGCACCCGGAACAATTTCCCAGTAAGTTAAAGTCTCACTTACTGTCAGAGGTTTTATTTGCAAACTGGGTGTATTCATGATCATCAAAGGGGTTTCCATTTCCCCAGTGGGCCTATTGTTAAGGATATGTAGCACATCTGTGAGATGAGTTTTCCACTCGGATAGGTTCCCATCTCCTAGCCTCTTCAACTGCTCTTTCAACAACCCATTCATTCGTTCAATCAATCCTGCAGCTTGTGGATAGTACAGTATATGAAAAACCCACTGAATATTTTGCTGCTCAGCATACTGTTGGACAAATTTGTTTTGAAAATGAGACCCATTGTCAGTTTGAATCTGCAATGGAATTCCATAGTACAAAATTATTATGCCTATAGTACAGATAGTACTATGATGAGTAGCTTTCTTACCAGGATGGGCAATCAAATATCCAGAATATGTATGTACAGTGGTGTAGACATATTTACACCCTAGGTCCTGGAGTAAAGGTCCAATACAATCCATTTGCTAAATTTGTCCTGGCAATTTTCCTCTCCCCAGTTGCCCTTTCACAATATTAGGCACCAGGCATTTGTGAGTATGTTGGCACAGGGGGCACTGGGCAATTATAGTTTTGATCATATCAAGTGACATTGTTATGCCATGCTCTTGGTCCCACCTGTAAGTGGCTTTCTCTCAAAGGTGCCCACACTTTTGGTGTGCCCATTTTGCCAAGCCTTCATGATCCTTCTTCTGAGAGAATTCTAATCCAGCTTGGGAAATCTTTGCCCACTTGTCTACAACAGAGTTATAAAGTCGTTCTAAAGTGTCCATGTTACTATGAACATCAACATGAAGCACAGTCACCTTAGTCCTCTGTATTATTTCCCAAATATCCTTCCACAATTCCTTTCCCCAGACTTCTTTGGAGTATATTTTCCAATCTTTGGCTATCCATGTTGGCAGCCAAGTAGCTAACCCATTAGCTACTGACCAGGAGTCAGTATGTAAATGACATTCTCCTAGATTTTCTTGTTTCAAGGCCGTATAAGCAGCATATAATTAATCATATTGGCTGCTTTTCCCTTCTCCCATAGTTTCTAAAAATTTTTCTAGCTGGGGATAGTAAGCTACTGCTTTCCAAAACCTCTTCCCTCCTATATACTTAGCTGATCCATCAGTCAACCAAGCATGTTCCTTTTCAAAGGGTGTCAATTGGTCTAAAGCTTTTCCCCATCGTACTGGGGATTCCCGTTCAACTGTGAAATGGGGGTTCATTACTTGATCACCTGTGGGGGCAGTAGCTACTTTCTCGTGGAGAGTACCTTGGCCCTATCCTGAATATACCATTTCCACTTTATGATACTCGATTCTTGAGCATGCCCAATTCGATGGGTTTTAGGAGAGCTTTTAACCCATTGCATGATAGGAATTTCAGGATGAAGGGACACTTCATGTCCTATTGTAAGCTGTTCTGTTTCTACCAATGCACAATAACATGCTAATAGTTGTCTCTCAAAAGGTGTATAATTGTTTCCTGCCTCTGGCAGCTTTCATCCCGAAAAACCTAAAGGAACCTTTTTCTTTCCCTGTTCTTGCCATAGGCTCCAATTGACATGTAATCCATTTACTGACACATTTAACTCCACTTCTCCCTCTTGCACTGGCCAGAAATCTAGGGCCTTTTGAATAGCTTCCTTTGCTGACTCAAAAGCAGCTTGCTGTTCATTCCCCCATTCAAACTTGTATTTTTTCCTTGTCACTTTATACAAAGGAGTCAGAATCTGTCCTAAATGGAGAATATGCTGCCGCCGAAAGCCAAACAATCCAATAATTCTCTGTGCCTCATTTTTATTTTGTGGTACTGCAAAATCAAAAATTTTCTGTAGAGCTTTGAGTAATTTTTCCTGATGTCCACAATGCCATTGAATTCCTAAAAATTTTACTGTTTGGGATGGTTCTTGAATCTTGTTAGGGTTAATTTCCCAATCTTCCTGTCTCATATGATCCACCACCTGTTCAAGTATTTGTTGCACTTCCATCTCATCGTTTCCCTGAATTAGGATATCATCAATATAATGCACTATTTGCATATGAGGAGGCAGTTTTATCTTATCCAGATGCTCAGCCACTGTCCGCTGGCAAATGGTTGGACTATGCAGCCATCCCTGAGGCAATCTGGTAAAGGTATACTGTCGTCCCTGCCAGGTGAAGGCAAATTGGTCCCAATGCTCCTCTGCAACTGGGATAGTGAAAAAGGTGGTAGCTAAATCTATTACAGTATACCAAGTCCCTGGATGCTTTTGAACCTTTTCTATTAAAATAATAGTATCTGGTACAGCTGCTGTAAGCAGTGGGGTGTGCTTATTTAATTCCCTAAAATCTACTGTCCTTCTACGTGACCCATCACTTTTCTTGACAGGCCATACCAGACTGTTCCAAGCTGTGGTAACTGGTTTCAATACTCCTGTATCTAATAAATCCTTAATTGTCTGTGATATCTCCTCATGTCCTCCTAGAATTCTATACTGTTTCATAGTCATTAATTTAGTAGCAGCAGGAATCTGTACAGGAGGCATTTTCACTTTTCCTACTAAAATTGTTCTAACACTGATATGACTTTTCACCCCAAACTGGTATTGACTGTCTGGGAGATTCAAAGTTAGTCCCCTCAAAATGTCTATTCCTATTATGTATTCAGGAATGGGGACAATCATGACTGAATACAGTCATTTTGGGAGGTTTCCTATTTTCATTTCTATTTGAGTTTGCACAGCTTCAATTTATTTCTCTCCCAGACCTGTAATAATTACAGGTTGTCTTTTAAATTTCTTTGGATTCCCATATATCAAGGAGGCCTCCACTCCTGTGTCAATTAAGGCTTTTACTTTTTGTGAGGACCAATTTTTCCAAAATATTTGGACCTCCACATGGGGCCATCGGTTCTTCCATGCCCATTGCACTGGAGCTTGGCCGTAATTTCATTCCTGTTTACTACGCTGGACTATTTCCCTAGTCTCCTTCCATGGGTATAAATCAGAATACAGCTCCCAGTCTTCCCTTTCCCCCGGAACAACTGATCCGCCTGCGGAGGGCCCACCGTCTGCAGATGGGAAGTCCCTCTGGGGCTCAGGAGGAGGTGCCGTAGGCTGAGTTACCCCTGGATTCTTAGTTTCAGAACTCTGCACTCTCCTGCTAGGCTTATTCATCCCTCTTTGTTTGTATATTCGCCACAGCTTGTTAGGTGGAACACCATCAATCTTTCCATGAGATATGCCATCCTTCAATAAAGCTGTAAACATTTCCTTGTGAGAAACTCTGTTCTCACTTCTTTTAGAGCTGTCCCAAGTATCTCAGTTTCCTGCACTTCCTCAGGGGCTCCATTCTCCAAGATCACCTAGCTGCTGTATTTTTTCAATTATCTCATCAATGGGATTTCCGGTCTCATTAAATAAGAGAGTCATTATTACGTTTTTATATGCTGGTGGGGCAGTTTTAATCAATTGATTCCTATGAGTGACAGACAAGGTGGCTTGCATCATTCTGTCAGGGTCTCCTATAAAGATTGCCAATTTCATCCCTTCCTCCTTCATCCGCTGTATACAATCTCTCAAAGTATACCAGGGACATTCCCCACCTGGCCAATCATTCTCCGTGGGGTATTTATTATTACATCCGCAGACAGCCAAGGTTAACAAGTTTGTACCCTGAGGACTATTTCAGAATGCATCTTGCACAAAGGAGTCAGAACTCAAAACTAAAAACTTCCTAGAGTCCCCTGGATCTAGGGTTACCCCTGATTCTCCCTGATCGTGCAAACGCACCATCCAAGAGAGTAGGGGTTCCACCAGTCTCTGCTTAAATCTTTCAATTATATCATTTATTTCATGCTGAGTATAATCCTCTATCACATCCTTTCTTACTTGTTGCCCATTAGTATCCAATTCTGTTTTCCATCTCCACATTGGTTTTACATCCACAAATTCATCTGAGGAACCAGCCTCATCAGAACCCATAGAATCCCAAATATCTCCACCCCATCTGTCAGGATCCCACTGTACCCCTGCTTCTGCAATCACAGAATGCACTTTCCTATAGTTTACTTATCCCCTTCTTTTCTTATATATATACTGTGCAACCCTTACTGCAGCTCTTTCAGCTACAGTCTGAGAAGTATCCAACTTATCGGCAAGCAACTTATTTTGACACTAACATTACAATTTGATTCTGCAAATCACACATCTGTCGCTCCATGTGGGAGTGCTCTAACAACAGTTTTTCTTTCTGTTGGTGCTGTTTCTGATATGCTGTTAACAAAACCCATCCCCGTCTTCCTGAACACACAATTTCTTTCCCTTTTTCAATAGATTATATTTGGAGGCATTTTAATACATCCAGTGGTTCAGCTTCTTTTACCTGACTTTCCCACTGTTCACATAGTCCTCTGACCTTAGTCCACTCAAGAGCCAGTAAACTATAGGGAAGGTCTACCCATCCAGGAATTTCAGACAGCAATGATTCATTACCTTTGACATGCCTCACTCAGGCGTGTCCGGATCATCTGAGGAGTTTCTGGTTTTCTTTACATTTGGGATTTATAGTTACTTCCTGTTGTTTACTTACAGTTTTCAGGGATTGTTCCCAGGGTTGCATTTCATGCTGATAAGATGCTGGTTGCTGGTTGGGGAAATCACTCAGAAGTCAACTTTGGCTTAAGGCCTATTGTTTGGGCCTTTTTTGTTTCAAGAGCTTCTTTGGTTGGACTTGAGCTCTCTAAAACTGAACAAAAAAATTGGGTTTTTGACACTATTGGACAAATTTCATGGTGAACAGCCTTCAGACAGATACAAAGACAATGTTGCTGTTCCCTCTGAAGCTGTTTGAATTTTTGTCATTGATTTAATTTAGTGCAGAGCAAACCCCTTATCTTCGATTTGTCTGAGAGGTGTCACAAATAATTATGATACTTAATAAATAATTGTCTAATTATATGTATATCATCTAATTGAATTATGCCCTGTTTCTAGAAGTTGCCCTCATGCCTCTCAGAAGCTTTCTCTTTTTGGCCCTTACTGCCTTTACTTCTTACTTCTCACTCCAGAATTCAAAGGTCTCTTTTTCTGTATACAATTTTTTTCCTTATTGACATATTTTGAATTAACTTGTTTATTCAATTCAGTGCTGGCAATAAACAGTACTTCTCTGTTTCTCTTTTTCTTCTCTGTCTGAACATGGTTACAATGATCCAAATGGAGACAGAGAGAATTTAATGTGATTCCATCACAGTTTTCTTAGCCAGGAGGTAACACAAACAAGGCTTCCCCTTTTGATTTTGACTCTCTACATATGTAGAATATAACATCTGTGTAATGGTTTTACACATGAGCAATAAAAGTGAGTGATCCCATAGTAAAGCATATCTTCCTTTCTAAGTATTTGTATTGAAACAATATGAAAGAATGGATGGGCTAATTGTGGCTCAAGCTGTAGTGAAGAAATAAATGAACGACTGAGCAAAAGTTATGCACTGCATTTCACACAGGGCTCGAGTTATAACAGGAGAGGGTCAATCACATATCACCAGGGAGCAAGATCACTGACATATTCCAAACTGCTGCAGTGAAGAGGTGTCAAACATTTTCTTGCTCATTAGCTAGTGAAACCCAGATTCTACAGGGTACAAGAGGACGTGAACCCACCCATCAGCATATAGCTCACTGCTGAGGCTCGGACCCCAGGGCCCTTGGATTCTTCTGATCATCCAAGGTCTTCAATGTCAGCTACCCAAATTCAGCTGCATGACCTGGGCATGAGCTTTTTGGTGTTATGGATATTACATGATAAGGAAAAGAGCGACCTTGGTCTTCTTTATTGAGACTGTTTTCATTTGTATGAATGAATAACCACAAGACCAAAGCTGTGGCAGGGAGGAGGGGAACACAATACACGACACACGACAGCAAGATTGACTGTAAAGCTTATTGATGGAGAAATGAAAGAAGAAACAAGTCCCTTCTTCCTTCAGTCTTCAGATAGTGAGGCAAGTGAAGTATCTCCATTATAAGAAGCTGAGAGAAATATGCCTCAGAAGAAGAAATGTCTTAAGGTACCTGTCTAGGATGTGGGGACGGTTACCAGAATTTTTTGCATTTTAGATTATGACATTACTAGACATCCTGTGGTATGCTTTTGAAGTAAGATCCTGCCAAAGTCTTTCTTACATTTCAGACATAGTTTGGTTAAAAATGGATGAAAAAATATTAATCTTTTATATGTTTTTTTTTTCAATTAAAAAAAAAATTTCAGTAAAACAGCCCTGAGCAGCTTTGTTATGAATAGATCAGACTAGACAGTGCCGCTGTCAGTATCCTCAACTCTCTGTCTTGTGTTCAGATTATACCACAAGTTAAATAGGATATATGACCCTGTACTTTCTAGAATTCCTGAAATGTATATGGCATCTCTATCAAAAGAATATGAATTTTTTGCAGATTGTGATTTTTTTTTTTTAACACAATTTTTAGTCAGCTAAAATATTCAGATTCCAGCTTAAACTGGACCCCAGGAACTCTTTCTACATGATAGCATTATCAAATGCCTTTCCTTTCAAATATGTTTCCAAAATAAATTTCTACTCTTCTAAAATTCTTATTTGCCATCCTTTTTCATTTTGCACATGGTCATCTGCTACTTTCAAAAAGTGTACAGTGAATCACAGTTTTTTATCTGAAAACATTCTGAAGCTAAGAACCCCAACCCCTGTAGAATATAAAATGTTATGCTTAGAATGCAGTCATTTAAAAAAAAAATTCAGAGGACAAAATCCTTTACTGTGAATTTTTATATTTAAAGTAGAAATATCTGATTCTTAAGTCCCATTTTCATAACTTTTACAATAATGTCTAACAGTACAGATACACTTGTATTGTTTCAGTTGCTTGTGTTGTGAGAGGCTGTCCTCTTTGCACTCATTTAAAATTCGTACAAATTGGCTTACACTGAGCTCTGACAGCACTGTTTTAAGCAAATGTAGAGACACTGAAAATTATTCCAATACATAGCTTTCTGGGGAAAATGGATTCTCTGAATGAAAAGAATTCCAGTTGCAAAGAACAGTAACCTAATTCAATAAGATTTTTAAAATGAAGTATTAAATTTTTTTAAAGTTACTTCTTTATGAATCAGTTTCTTTAAAGAATCTTCTTTAAAATTCCATTTGCAGTGCTGTTTTTTAAAGTCTCTGGGTGGCAGAAGATTTAACAAAGCTTAAAGAAGGGTATTTTTTTACTGTTTCTCATAAAACCTATGGAGGACAATCCCGGTCTCATTACAGACAAGCAGGAAATAGAATATGAGCTTTGAAGAACCCTCTATTTCCTTTCCCTTTCCCTTTCCCTTTCCCTTTCCCTTTCCCTTTTCCTTTCCCTTTGCCTCTCCCTTTCCCTTTCCCTTTCCTTTTCCCTTTCCACATGCTTATTTCCATTTTCCCTTCCTCTTTTCCCCTACTCTGTTTTACCCCCTCTCCTTCCCACTTCCTCCTTCTCCCTTTTGCCCAACCCTTTCATTTTTTTCTCTTCCTTTAACCCTTTCCCCTAATCTTTTTTTGCTTCTTTGCCTTCCTTCTACCTCCTGCTCTTGAGAAGTTTTGACCAAGTCTAGACATCACTGTTACCATCTAAGGAGAACTGAAAACATATTTTCTAATCCAATTATCCCTAATCTTTGGAAGATGTTTGAATTTGATCCAAACCTATACAAAGACAGTCCTATACAACATCACAGACACTTTGCCTTGGCAGTGGCTCAAGATATGCATTCTTCTTACAGCGGGTGGTCAAATAATTTCCAGCAATTACTGTACAACATATATTTAGCTCCCAACTTTCTAGCTAGTGAGTGGTTTCTGAATGTCTATTTGCTGTGTAGTCTGAACAAAAGGATTAAAAGTATGGGGCATTTGCACACAGTTCAATTTTCACTTGTTC